CTAGCGCCACCCACGCCTGCGAAAGAAACTGAGACGGACGACTTTTTCTGCGTGCGATGAATTTACCACCCAAAATGCCTTCTACAAAAGGACCGACGAGTAAGAACCAGTAGCCTCCGACGGCGTACTCGGGGAACCACGATAAGAGAATAAATATCGTGTTGGTAAGCAGCACACCAAGAATTGATATGCCCAAGACTTTGAGTCGCCCATGTCTGTCCGAATACTTCGAAACGCTTCAGCATTTTGCTTTAAGAACGAGAGATGGTAAACACGTACTGAACCCCACCAGCCGGCCGTAATACAGCTCAAGATGCCCATAGCCAAGGCCATCGCTGATATGCAGGCGGTACGCTCAGCGACATGGTCCCAAGCAAAGACATCTGCAATCTACCTGTCGATATTTTTGCGACAGCAGCCTGCACGGCTGGGTCCGTATTACAGACTTGACTTGCCCCATCGGCGAGTCCGGAGACCAAATCCTGGTCTGTCTCACTGAGGGAAGCATGGCATAAAGAATGGGATCAGCAAAGTGTACACGCCCAGCATACATGTCGTCGTACGTGTGCCTGAAGATATCGGGGTGTAATTGGTTGCACGCAAGAATCGTGTATATTTCAACACGTGGGGCAGTCGTCGCAGCCGTGCCGATACTGGGCATAGGCAGTATGACGAGCATCCTATGAACACAAGGGTTAGGCGATGGTGCGGCGTATGATTACAGAGGAAAGTGGCTTGCCACCAGGCAGCCGGCCGCCTGAACCACGGCCTCGGATCCTTCGAGTTTGAATCTTGGTCGCCAGTGGGATTGTCTGCATCAGAGTAGTTGTTGAGCAGCTCAACGACTTCTTCACCGACAGGACCGTCCGGCTGAATGAGAGCTTGCGGCCTGTTCGACGTAACAGACGTCTCCCTATAACCCGAGCGCGAGTCGGGCGATATTGAGACGCGTATGCATGAGCCATCACGCGACGGCAACATGGTCGGGGAGGAAGAGAATCGATATGATAGTACCGCACTACATACTATTAGTAACTATCAATAAAGTGCTGCGATAAATGATAACAAAACGTGGCCGACGTTCCGGAGGACGAGGACGCGGTTGATTGGCCCCGCATACGATCAATCCAAGCCACTTGCTTGGACAGGCACACCTCGTCGACATCGACATCGACATCGACGACGACAAACAAGATTTGAGTTGATAAGCTTTTCTTCTTTAGAGATGGTCACTGTGTCTGCCCAGTCTGCGTATGCGTGAGCTCATATACGCCCTGCAGTCGTCAACAGTCTCAATCCCGGACGCGGTGCATACAGCGCTCAAGGACTTCCGCAAGTCCACCGCGCGAAAGACCGGTATTTGTGTGCAGGTGTTCAAAGTCAACATGAAGACATATGAACTGGACGAGGTTGAGCGCTTTGACGATATCTCAATCGACGAGCTGGTTGAAGGTCAGATAACACTCGGCGCTTTTGTGCAATTGCTCCTCCCCTCATCGTAATTTCCACGCCGTGACATCCCTCCTGGCCGCCATCAGAGTTACCCGAAAACAGCCCGCGCTTCGTAGTAATGTCCTACGAGTTCAAGTACAGGGACGGGCGCACATCGTCCAAATTGATTCTCGTGAACTGGGTGCCGCCGACGTCTGAGCCTCGAATACTTACCTTACACACCACCGCGTCCCTCGAATTCCAGAAAGCGGTAAGCCAGACAATCTCGATTCATGACCTCCACAACTGAGCACTGCTCCAGGCGGAGGTGGACAAAGTTATCGAGGTTCACGAAGGATCGGAGGGACTCACGAAAGAAGTACTCGACGCGGCAGTGCTCGCGTAGAGCCCAAGCAATGTACAATATAGTGATTGATCTGTCGTGATAGCTGGACTACCGCATTTTCGGGCTGTGAGAATCGAGAAGAACAATACGTGCACGATTGCGATGTCAAAGCCATGCTAAGCCAAACAACAAACGGGATCACATCCCGCCCACAACGGAATACAATCAGCCACATCTTCGCATTACTTGAGTTAGCACCCAACACTGGCCAAGGACATACACAACACTTCTGAACCACAGCCCGAGAAACACGCTCTCGCCAAGGAACTCCAAGTTGTACGCCTCAGCAAGCCATAACGCCTGTGTGACTACCCACACGCCAATGTAAACCAACGCTTGGTTCAGGGACATGTGCAAGCGGGGCACAAGGAGTGGTATGAACAGCAGATACCACAGAAAATACTACGGCAGAATGAGATAGTCGAAGACGAATGCATATAGACTGCCAAGCCTACCTGAGACGTGCAGACTTTGTTGAATAGCACGAAGGCGAACGTCTGTACGAACCACGCAAAGGGCAAGTCGCGAACACGTCCACCAAACAGCATGCCCGTGCCAAACGACATAAGCATCTGAGGACCGAAACTTACGAGCGGTGAATGCAAGATTTTGGAATCAGAGGAGTGGTAAGTAAGATAGATCAGGTAAAAGTAGGGTGAGAAGTTGTGTCGGTGGTCGCGTCGATGCAGGTGGTATAAGTACGATTCGTACAAGAAAGGGTATCCCCAGCTGAATCAAGGTTTAAGAGGCATTCCAAGCGGACGTGAAGAATGACGCACAGCGAATAACACAAAATCCCAAGAAAAGTGAATGCAGCGCTCGAAATGAGCGTGAACCTCAGCGTTCGGGGGTTCACAAAAGTGCGCCAAATATGGACGAAGACGTTCGCGTTCGGCGCGCGTGTAGCCTCACTGGCACCAACAGCAGCGAGACACGAAACTCCATAGATGACGGGGTATATTTTCCAGTGCGTGCTCAGTCCTAGGAGCAGCGCAGCGCGATCCCACTTCCCCCGCAACGCAGCGTCGAGCGTGAGTAACACTAATGAGCACAGCACCGACTCGGAGGAGCCCCGTGTCGAGATGGAAAATACCATCGGATTGAGCAAATGCACAGCGCTGCAAATCACAGCGAGACGCTCCTGCAGTTCCTGCGAAGAAGGCTGGGAACCTCGGCCTTCTGTCGCATCCTGGCTGTCGACCGTGTTAGTCTTTTTCTTCGCCTCTGCTGGCAGGATCACGGTCCGTACGAGCGCGTAAATAAGCAGTCCGTTCACGATATCACACGCCGCAAACAAGTATTTTCCGAACGACGAATGTACCCATTCGTTCGGCGCCAAAAGGACAGCGAGTAAAGGCGTGTAGCGGTATGTTTCACGCGTATAAGGGCTACAATGGATGTCATAGTCAGAACATTGGTCGAGCAAAGCCATCGAGCACGCGACTGCAGTCCGTTATATGCATTCCATTAGTCCACTCACTCTCCTAGATCCAGACGGACCCCCGTCCACTGTTGAATCAAGTGCAGCAGAGGACCTTGCGCGAGGGTATCTGTCCTCGGATGCGTAACGAAACGTGCTGCATCGCTGAATACCCGATAATCGATATCCGTGTATTTCACCACTGAATGAGCGTCATGCCACTCGCTGTAGACTATGAGACCGACGCGAAGAACAACTGAGAGCACGAGAAGATGACGGAAAGTAACAACGTTCATGACCGCTGAGACTCGCCCGTCCTCGCCACCGATCACAGCCAACCGAACACGCAGATAACCTCAATACAAAGCACACACGATCGTAGATGAGAATTAGGTTATGCATAGAAATTCATAACAAAATGAACATATTTTGTATGCGACCCAGCAAGTGGCTGTATACATACAAATCATCCTGCTATAAGTGTTCTAGACGTCCAGCCGACACAGCGCAGCGCGGTGCCGGAGTTTAGCGGGGGTGGCCTCACATCTGTAGACGTCAATAAGAACACATTGCCAACATTGCGAGCAGACAAGGGGCCTACATATTGAGAAAGCCATCGGAAACCTGGAAATAGAAGATTAAGAGGTAAGGCATGTGGCATACACGACGAAAGCGCACCTTCGCCATACCCTTGCCTCTGAACGACCGAGCACATAAAGATTTCGATGGGGCGGATGTCGCCAAGCGGGACCTTACCCTGGAGAGGCATGAGCATCATTCGCAGCCGTTCTACGCAGCGACAGATGCTTACCTTGCCAGTGGTCTGATAAAGACCCAGGTGATGTCGTAGCTCTTCCTCGGATATAGCACCAGGTGCATCAATCTTGTTGCCCAGAATAAGGAAAGGCACTTTGGCAAGCTCCTCAATAGCTAGCAGTGCATCCAACTCCTCCTTGGCCTCTGCAAAACGCTCGTAGTCGGCACTGTCAACGAGAAAAACAATGCCGTCAACTTCGGGGAAATAATCCCTCCAGAGGCGACGTGCTGTTCGGCGTGTACGTGTCAGACATGCGTGACGGAGAGTCTGCAAGGCGAACACTAGTACTGACCTTGTACGTGGCCACCCAGGTCGTATGTATTGAATTTCACATTGCCTATGGCAAGCTCCTCAGACGCTATATGATACGAGGACGTGTCCATTACAACGGTCAACGGGAAACAATGTAAAGACGCGTACTGGGATGGAGGGTCGGCTGCAACGTAGCAAGTCGATCGTTCTTCAGCATGTGCAGTAGAGTCTGTCGAGCGCCAAATCAGCGTGAGAAGAGGATGTAATCCCTAGCATCCAAATCTACCGTCTTTCCAGCATTGTCGAGACCTAGGAACAGGATTTTGGCATTCTTGTGCAGGAGACCTGGATCACACATGTCACGACTGAGAATGGATGCCGGACAACAATTGAGCAGACAAACCGAGTTGAGAAAGAATATCGTAGAACCAATTAAGAATGAACATGACGGAACTATCAGTCGAGGAGAACGTCGACGCGGCGACAGAATAAGTACAAGTACACTCGCGATACCAATCGTTGCGACTTTCACATCACCGCGACACGACTGGGCTACGTGACTGTGACTATCATCACGGGACTGGACGGTCATATTGCGTGACGCAGTAATCCGTAGTTGCTCCTCACCACCGCTGATGTCAAGCCAAATATCCCGAAGGAAGTTGCCAGACAGGTCTCTGATAGTATATCGGCTAGTACACCCGCCTGTCATGTAGAACAGGCCAGTGCAATTGGTCGCGGGAGAGCTGGGTTCGACTCCCAGTCAGAGAGCTTTTATAATATTTTGGCACGCGGTGCCCGATACTTGGACAGCACTCCACTGTTCCCAGAGCTGCAGCTAAACACACTCTCACCAATCTCTTTCAGCAAATTACTGTGACAGGATGACGATATGTAACATGATTCCCCCTCCCCCGCCAAAAAAAAAAAACAATAAATGAATGCCCATATATAAATTTCCTCACTATAGATACATTGGAGTGTAGCAAAAGCAATGGAAGGTAACCAAAAGCACAATAGGGAATACTGCGGCAGGCAGACAACATCAAGTTGTCAGCACTTCAGCTGCCGAACGGGACGCAGCCCGTTCAATAATCACACCTCCAAAGCACCAACACCAAACCTACTGTACAACTGCATCAACCCTTTCCGCCGTACTACAGAGATTCCAAAAGAAAACAAACACCCATCTATGATTCTGTTCCTCAAAGCAGACGACCAAACTTCCCATCACGTCTAGCACTGTCAGCGTAGCTCTCGACCACAGTCTCACGTTTCTTGTTAATAGGAACGCAAATCATGGCGGAGGAACTCGAGGTGCTGGACGCGACCGACGATGCAGATGTAACGCTCGCAGCGAGAGCCTGAGATGATGTTGTTTCAAGGGATGCTGCAGAAGAAACCGCAGATGTAGCGGTATCGCCTGCGGCTGAGGAAACTGCAGCGGAAGTAGCAGCGACTGCAGAAGTGGCAACGGCAGAGGTGGCGGCACCAGCGGAAGTTGCAGCGGCAGCAGATGTGGCAACAGCGGCAGAGCTTGCAACGACCGAGGTCGCAGCAGCAGCTGTTGAAGGAACCTGTTAACTCCCGTCATCACAACAACCTACAAACTGAACGCACCACTAGAAGAACCAGAACCACTGTCGGATGAGCCGCCAGTGGTGGTGACAGACGGCACAAAGCTGGACGCAGTGCCCTCAAGTTCGGTCGCGTTGTTCGAGTCGGCGCCTGCCCACAGTTCAGGACCGGGGATAGTGTAGTTCGTGATCGTCTCGTAAATATCGATTGTGATGCCGGGGTCACTACC